GGCTAGAAATAAAAATATCAGTCTTTGAAATAGATCTAAGTAGAAGTTTCTGCTAATCTGGATAATGTATATCATCAGGTGCATGTTTGGAAATTAGAAACTGTACATTTGGTATTTTTCCTGCTCAATTGTTGCATCCTGCATGTTTGTAACTTTGGAGAACCTGAACTTTGTGCTGTGGAGGGTGAATCCCAGTGTATGGATATATATCTATAATGTAATAATATATGGAGCAAGATTTCACTTGATTGATGCATATTAGCATGAAATAGAGATGAAGTTCAGCATTTGTTATTCCAGTGATACAATAGGCTGCTAATAGGCTTTGTCTCTCAGGACAAGATATTATACTCAAATTCTTGAATCTCAAAGAAATTACTCTTCATTCCCATAACATATACTTCTGAGTCAAAAGCTCCTTTACTCAGGAAGTAGCCTTACAGACAGAACCAACTATAAAGTCAAATATTTATTTCCCTCTCTGCTTCATTTCTTTCAAATACTTTTCCCATTACAGGATTTTTTTCCAATCCCAAATGTTTAACTTCTGTCTTTCCAGTGAAGATGATCATATCCCTTCATTTGTTGATATCTGAGGTTCTTGCTCAAACCATCCTAACAATAGCAATGAAATAGCCATTTCCAGAGCCTGATTCATTGCATCATGAAATATAGTTAAATGGAAACTGCCCTGAAAACCATACATCTTCCCTCTTTAAAGAGAAGATAAGGAATTGGAACAGCTGTGGATATCTACCATGCAGACATAGAATCATAGAATCAGCTGCATTGGAAGAGGCCTCAAAGATCATCATCTGACTCCTCCATCTGTGCTAGGAGTCAGATTTAGACCTAAAACCTGTTAATTTAGGTGTCTACATGAAAGTTATATGTCTAAACTCCTCCTCCAAGCAGTGGAGAGCTGGCCATTGCAGTCAGTGATTTCTAGAGTAATCCAGATTACTGTCATGTCAATGAAAGTGGCCCAGCTGAGTTGCCTAAACCTAGACATCTAGTGATACTTCCTATGGCACCCTGCCTGCTCTCCAGACCCTGCACCAAAAGTCTGCAACATCTAGCAGATCTGTGTTATGAGCCCAATTTTTGGCCACCCCAAATAACTCTAGATGCCCTTGTTTAGACCATAGGTGCAAGATCCCCATGCCTGGTTAGCTCTGATGATTTTATTGATAAGGCTTTGGATTTGGTCTCCTAAAAACATGTAACATGTTGTGTCATTAGGCAGAGGAGATCAGATTTTGCTTAAGTCCTAAGAGAGATCCAACAGCACTAGCAGCTTACAGTTAGACAGCTGAACCCAGCCCCAGGTGTCCAGGTTTCATGTCAATAATGGGAACTTTCATGTGTGCACCTTCATTGCATGTGACTAAATTTAGATATCTTAACCTTGAGCTGAAGTCCACCCATAAAATTGGATGGGATGTATTCCCAAAAAATGTCTCCCACAGTATTGGTGTCTGTATGTTTGGCCTGTAAAATCTGCAGTGCTCTAACACATGCCTTTAACACATTAGCCAACAGGTTGGTTCCTTTTCTGAAGAAAGCACATAACAAGTACAGTTAATAGCACTGTGCAAGATTTTTGCTGTTATTCAGTGGTTTATGGTAAATACTTTCAATGAAAAGCTACAAAACCAGGACTGAATCTCTTTTTTATGAAATGCATCACTACAGAACCCAGGAAACAAGGGAACATAAAGCACTAGCAGAGCTATGTATGTCTTCTCTTAACTAAAGGCATAAGAAAGCAAATGATTAGACTCACCATCCTTGACTGAGTAGGGCCGAAATATCTCCCGGTACAACAGGACAATATCAACTCGGAAGAACTGATAAAATATAACTGAGACTGCTATTGCAACTAGCAGAACCAGAGATCCTGTGATCAGGAGGACATTAGGAAGCACTACTGCAAAGTAGAGGAATATATTGTTAGTCACAGAGAAGTTGAACTGTGCACTGGAGCTTTGGAAACATTTTCTTACTTCTGTTCCAGCTTTAAGGAGCTCAAAACAGAAATGACAAAGATTTTCCTTCCCCAGCTGGAGTAACCAACTCAGAGACCCCTAAACTAGAAGCAAATTAAGCAGTATGTAGTTAATATTTTACTTTGTTGAATCCAAATCTACTTACACTAAATACCACAGCTGACAATGATGTTTAAGTATTTTGCAACTTTGTAAAACCATTGATAGCACAACCAGGAGCAATGTTCTAGCAGATGCCTAAGTTTATGCTTGAAAACTGTAAGTGTCCACTAAAGGACAAGTGGAGGCTTCTGTCATGGTTACACAAACAGGGTACAAAGAAGCATGTGCAAGTAATGAAATCTGCAAGATAAGAAGTACACAAAACAGGAAGGAAAACAGAACATGTCCTGGTCTTAAAAATAAAATAAACTGTGCTGAAGTCAGATGATGTTCTCTCCTGCCTTTTTCTTCGAAGAGGGTCAAAGGGGCATAACATTGCAATGATGAGTAATGAAAATTGGGAAAGCAATGAGCCACCCACTTTCACTCCAGATCCCTCATAGAAGAGCTAATGAATCTAACCTCCTTCACCTCAGAGATGAAAACATCCAAACTGTGCATGTTGTCTGCATGAAAAGGCCCATCTGTACTTTTGTTTTGCTATGCCCTGAATTGGAATATTACTGAAGCATATATCCCTTCAGTGTTACAATGAGATTTGGAGTTTGCTGCAATTTCAAAACTATTATAGCTGAGGAGACACATATTCTGTTGAATGCCAAACACATAGAAATTGAAATACAAGCATTCTAGCAATACACACATGGAGATCAGCTTTGGCATCCTCACTGTAAAGACCCTTCACAGCATCTCCACCCACAGTGGGTGATTATATGTACTGGTAGCAATTCTACCCAGCTAAACCTTGTGAACTCAGAGCAGCAATCAGCCCTTCATGGCTTTTCCTTCCTCTGCCTCCAAAACACACAAAAGACATGGGGCTGCAGCAGCAGGTCATTCACCAGCACTTGAGGTGCATTGTACAGCAAGCTGAAGAGACAGTCTCAATTTCCTCTACAGAAGTGGCAGCGAAACAGGTTGGAAAATGCTGAGGATTGTATGCAGCCAGTAAGTATGCTACCAGGTGAAGGCACTGACCAGCACCAAGGAGCAATTTCAGAGCTTATTGTTGGACTTGGCACTACTTGAATGAAGTAAGATAAGCTATTTAGCAGTGAAAAGTCTCTTATATTGAAATTTACATTTTCCCTGATTCCTCCAGGATGTGTTGATTAAGACAACATGGAGGAAACCTCAAAATATTGGTGCAGGAGAAATTCCACTGAAGAGGTATATAAATGAAGAGTTTGCAAGTACGTTCCCAATTTCCTCTGGTAAGATATGAGGAAAACTTAACATGATTTTCACTCTCTACACTTTTCTTTCTTTGCCATTTAAAGGGAAAGGGAAACATTAGGCTTGTGATGAAGCTTAACTCACCAGAACTTGATCTGGAATAAACACCTTCCAATGAGGTGGAAGTGGGCAAGGAAACAATCAGTTCCTTTTATAATGAAGTTTGGTCATTTTGCATTTTTAACGATGTTATAGAATCATAGAATTATCAAAGTTGGAGGAGATGTCTAAGATCATCCAGTCCAGTCATTACACTCTGCTGGAACCACTAAACCCTCAACCAGATCCTCCAGTGTCAGATCCAGATGCCTCTTCAACACTTCCAGGGATGGTGACTCCACCACCTCCCTGGGCAATCTATTCCAGTGCCTGAACACCCTCACAGGGAAAACATTGTTCCTAACATCTAAACTGAATCTCAATGTCATGTGATGCCTATGAAGAACTTTGTCCTCGAGAACCCCTTCAAATTTTATGATTTGATCCATTTTCCTGGTCAATACACACACCACACACACAAACAAAAAGTGTGAAAAGGCCTTTCACTACCGGGTGAGGATGACTCAAGGATCAGAATTTGGCACTGTTTCTTATTGTTTCATTTGTTGACAATTTGCTCATCACAATTACTCTTGTAGTGCATTGAGTAAACATCTAGAGAGACCTAAGAAGAAACAGGTTCCAACCACATCTTCTGCAATTATGAACCAAAAGAACACCCTGTTTATATTTGGTTTTGCACTGATTAGACCAAGGCCAGAAAAGAAGTGATAGATTTCCTGTGTTTATACAGGTTGCAAAGTGTCAGACAAAAACCCCACAGAGGTCTTTCTGGAGGAGCAGATTCAATTCCCAGTAAGGTTGGCTTAATCTTTCGTTTCTCTGGGATAAATCAACTATCTTCAGCACAATGGGGGCAAGTGCCACAAGCCCCTAACAAGGTTGAATAGATCCTGTTGTTCCATTTGGCTTTCCTGCATCATTTAGTGGCAGAGAGGTCATGAGTAGGCTGTGTTGATTGATATTGGAGAGTGATGGGAGTACAGAAATATCAGCTCACAGAAAGAATTCTGGAGATTCCAGAGAAAACAAAGCAGAAAGAGACCTTTGAAGGATTTCCTGACACACTCCAGAAGAGCAGCAACTTTTTTTCACTTCTCTGGCTTTTGGGGTGGATACACTTCCAGATGGTAAAAGCAGAGATCTAGGTCTGGAATTCCTGTCCACAACTATCTACAAAATATGAGCCAAAAGGTTAGGTTCAGCATTAAATACCTTTGAGAAAGAACAGATCTGATGTTTTGGGCTGCCCTTTATCTCTAAATGACTGGAATTTCTGGTATTCTCCAGAGAAGAGGACTCATGCCAGAAAGATTTGTGGTCCTCTGGGCATTTTATGCTTCCTGGTGAATGAGAATTGAGAAATGCTGCAGGACAGATAAGATGATGTTTGTGGGTAAGACACATGAAAAGCCACCTCCAGTTATTAAACCAGCCCTGAATCAAGATAAGCATAAATAAAAGTCAGTGGCAACTTATATATTAATGAAGAGGGAAGGAGTTGAAAGGTATTCAGACATCCCACGTGGTCCCTAGCAGACAGGTTAAAAGGGATGCTGAAGGATGTTCCTGTCCTGCCCTAGCTCTGCTGGTAGGAGTTAACACATTGAGTGTTTCTCCAATTGCTTGTCATTGCTTCTGTCTCAGGAGCTAGCAGCATCCCTCCCTCTGCCAGCAAAAATGCTTTCACCCACTGCAGTTATCAATGAGCTGAACTGGCGTGAACAGTGTAGATGATTAATTATCTCATTCTTGAGAGGTGTCATCTTTCAGCATAAGAGATACCAAGAAGCTGTGGAGGGCAAAAGGGAGTAGCCTGGCAGGTAGAGTCACCGTGTCTTGCCAGGTGTCCAGCAAGACTAGCTACATCTTTGCCATGAAATGTGGAAGAAGTTGGAATTAAAAGTTGTCACAAGTTTCATAGCCTCAGTGACCAGAGGCACACTATTCAAATTACACAGATGGTCTCAGAGCACATGACATGTCCTATGTCATGTGGCAGAGAGGGAAATACAGAGATATAGAGAAAAGGGAGATTTAGGAAAGAGCTGGAGAAAAAAATGAGGTGTGAAAAGGTATTATGAGACATGAAGAACACGTTGATATGAACAACACCACAAGTGTTGGTGAAGGAGTCAGAAAATACCAAACAGCTTCAAGCAAAAAAGAGACAGAAAGGATGGGAAGTAGTGTGGAAATGGGTTCAATATTGACTGGGGGTGATCAAAGTCTAGGCAGGGGTTGAATGAGAAAAAAATCAAGAAATCTTCCCCAGCAGGAGGAGAAGCAAAGTCTGGATGTAGCAGCAGCTGAAAAATGAAGGGATATTAGCACTTCCTAATGGGGGCAAGAACATTGCTGCAGAGACTGTCAAAATCCATAACCAAATCCTCATAAATCATTCTCATTAGAAAAAATAAAAAGAATTTGCCTGATTTCCCTGTGTCTAGACATACCACCAAATCACACCAGAACAACACCAAATAACTGAGGTACTTAGGTCATGTAGCTTATTTCTTTAGAGCTGATCAGCTTCTTTTAGCAGAATTTATTTTCTTTTCATAAAGATAAGTGAAAAAATACTTGGGACAGACACTTGAGACAGACACATTTTTCACCATACAGTACTTTTCTTCACACATATATGTGATATATACATGTGTCCACACTATATATTCTAGACTGGAAAATGTAATTTTTTTCTGCTGTGAAGTGTCAAGCAACTTCACCCATGACATTCATTCCTGGCAGAATTAAGGGAGTATTTTTGTTTTCCATGGCAACAAAACCAAACAGCTCTCACCACTCTTGATTGTGAAAGAAGATCCTCCTTTTCTTATCACTCCTTTCTGGTAATTTTTTATTCTTATGTGGATTACAATTGTTACCAAAGCAAATTGTTAGGGTTAATTATAGTGATATTGCTAGCAGTGAACTAGGACTTGAAGTATGACTGGAGAAAATAGATGTAATATCTGATTCCCCCAGAAAAATCTCCATGTGGTGAGTTGATCATTCAATCAGCAGTTTTTTGTAAGACTGAATAGGTACTAATGTAGAGGAGATCTAATGCAATTGCTTACAACATCTTTGCTTCCTCCCTGATCTCTCATCTGTGCAGCCAAACACTTTTTATCCGGTACATTATTTATCTGGTTCCCCAAAATGGACAAATTTTAGTAGTAAGTGGCACATCACCTATTCATTTTTTAATTCCTAACAGAAATCCATGTTACAAATAATGATAATACTGAATAATATTAATGCTAATAATACTGAAAACCCTAAAAATACAGAATGATGAACAGGAATTTGTGTTAAAAGAACATTAACAGGATAGTAGCAGACACAAGTTGTGCTGTGGGAAATATCATAAAGCTTGAAAAAAACACATTTTTTCCTATGAAAAGCAAACACACAGACAAAACACAAAAGGAGAAGAGACATTTTTATTACATATTTACAAGATGAGATGCACAAGCAAATCCTCCAGCAGTTTCATTGTTCTCAGAGGCAAGCTGTCATTGTTTTAGCCTAAATATTTCTCAGCTGTGTGAGGAGTGAGCAAAGAAAACTAAAGCACAGCACAACCATTTCTGGCCATAGCATTGCTTACACCAACAGTGCTGAGGAACAGTAGCAGACACCTTGTCAACAGCAGCAACAGGGAGACAGAAACAGATATCCACACACAAAAAAAGGCAGCAGTGAAAGGGGGATCACAGCCAAGAGCTTTCATGAACGTTTACTGAAGACCTATGGATAAAAAACAAAATAAGATGTATCTACAGCAGAAATGAGATTCAGTGATTCACTGGATTCATATAGAATATGT